TATAGATGTATTTAGGGAGCAGTTAGTCTTTCTGACAGAGGGCTTTCCCGTCTTGGGCTAGACTTGGACTGGAGCGCTTCTGGAGACCGTGGTGTTTGTGTTCTGTGGTCATATTTTATAGTTGCCCTTCAAAAGGGCTTATGATTCCTAAGCATTTTAAAAATAGATTTTGTTGCCACGATGACTAGGAACTGTTCGTTTCAAATGACATTTTTAACTCGTCACGGTTGATACAGAGGAAAGCTTTCTGTCTTAGGAATTCCGTTACTAACATTTCCCTCAACTATTTTTAGGTTTCTTCAAAATAGACACACACCATCTAGAAAAAAATGACAGCTTCTGCTATTTTTGCTCTGTTTGGAGGAGAACGCCGGAAACAGTTTCCCAGAAGTGCAGGGGGCACTTCAGAGCTGGGCTGAGCCCTTCTCTCGTTCTCTCTCCCTCTCTCTTTCTTTCTTTCCTTGTGGGTGCTTTGAAGGCCCTTGGGGACACTGCCCCTGGTCTGCTGTGCTTTCCATGCCCGTGTTAGGCGCCTGTGGCAGGGTGGAGGCCTCCCCCACTGTGGCTTTGCTGCAAAGGTTAGAAGCAGCTACTCTACTTCTGGGTGGAGTGGGGCAGGGCCCTGGCCAGTCCCATGGCCTCCACACACCCTGCTATTTCCCCAAGATGGCTCCAGTTTCAGCCCCTGCAGGCTCAGAGCTCTCTAGCCCTTTGGTGGGAAAGACGTGCACTTTCTTTTGCTCTGCCTGTGTGAGAATAGGAACCCTGTTGGAGCAGTGGTTATGCGTTGGGCTGTGATCTGAAAGGCCTGCAGTTCAAAACCACCAGCTGCACTGCTTGAGAAAGACTGGGCTTTCTACTCCCATAAACGGTTAGGGTCCTGGAACCTCGCAGGGACAGTTGTGTAAGTTGTCATCGATGTGATGGCAGTGAGTTTGGTTTGGTGTTAGAATACTAGCTTCTAATTTAAAATACTGAGCATCTAGTCCCAGAGGCCCTTTGTATTACGAAGGCTTTTACAAATCCCAAATTTCTTCATCAAAGCCTTCCCACTTGTGTGTTGTGACTCAGGGTCATTTGTTGTTGCTTTTCCGTGGAGTTTGGGAACAGACGAGGCTGTCGGAAGTCAGGAGGGTGGGCTGTGGGCTTGTGAGGTGCGTGGAAGCAGGAACTGGGGTGCTGTGTCATGCTTGCCTTCACAGTCGCTCTTGCTGCTTGAGAGGAAGCTGAAGGGCACATCGTTATGGACTTTGACTTTAGGCTTAGGGGAGCCTCTTAGCTCATTAGCACGGTGATGTCAGAGCAATACCAAATGTGAGTGGCTTTAACAAACCAATGTTTTTTCCCCCCACAGTCTAAACTCAAAATCAGACCCACTGCCACTTGGCTGATTCCGACTCAGCAATCCCGTAGGACAAGGTAGAATGATCCTTGTGGGTTTCCCAGACTGTAACTCTTTACAGGAGTAGAAAGCCTCCTCTTTCTCCCGAGGAGTGGCCGATGGCTTTGAACTGCTGGCCTTGTCATTAGCAGCCCAATGCATAAACACTACACCACTAGGACTCCTCTTCTCACATTCTAGGTCAAAAGTCAGAATCCGGGAAAACTTTCTGTTGGCACTCGGGGAAGTCCTTGTCTCTTTTCAGCTTCTGTCTCTCGGTTCTTTAGAGATCTCATGCAGTGTAGCATCTCTCCCCCATTTCTGCTCTTTCAAATCTCATAGCCACCGTGTGGGACTGGGTAGCACTGCCCCTGTGCGTTTCCGAGACTGTACTTCTTGAAGGGGATAGAAAGCCGCCTCTCACCCTCCGTGAATCTTTACCTCCTATGGATCGGCTATATATTGAATATATATATTCAATCGGATGACCTTGTGGTTGGCAACCTCACTCATTACCCACTACACCACCAGGGCTCCTGGTTGCTTTGTGTGTCTGAATTGACTTTCTTAAATCTCAAGAGATTGATTTAAAACTGATCCCCCACTAACATTTCTCATTAACATAGCAAAGAAAACCCATTCCCAATCAGGCTATAACCACAGATGAGGTAAGATTTATAACACATACACACACACACACACACACACACACACACACGAGGGGGTACTCCCCAAAACCGACTTCCCCCCACCCAAAGCTATGTAGTAAAAATTTAAAAAGAAAAATAGCCTTATCACCTTCGAAGTACTCTCTAGTGCACGTAATACATTTGTCAAATCTGTGATTCCATTCTTTGAAATATTTTTCAAACTCATCTGTTTGGATGGTTGACAGCACCTCCCTCATATTTTTCTACACCTCTTCTACATCATTAAATTGATGTCCTTTCATGTCCCTCTTCATTATTGGAAACAAAAAGAACTCGCAAGGAGTGAGGTGAGTCAGGTGCATGGGGCAAGAAAGACATGCTGTTTTTTGCCATAAACTGGTGCCTCAAGGTGGCTGCATGAGCAGGTGCATTGTCATGGTGGCAAAACCAGTCCCCCATCTGCCACAAACCAGGCCTTTTTGGTCACACACTATTACGCTATCTTTTCAGAGCCTCTAAAGAGAAAGCTTGATTCACAGCCTGACCTGGTGGACATTTTCACCCGTTCAGAAAGTTGACAGAAGTCCAAAATGAGGTTTGTCGTCAATCAACATTTCACCTTCTATGAAACGAGAAAACCACTCATACAGTTGAGTGTTTCCCACAGCGCTGTCCTTGTCAGCCGTGTTCAACTTCACAACAGTTTCTGGGGCATTTTTCCAGAGCAAGAAACAAAATTTCACGGCCTCACGCTGTTCTCTTAAATCAGCCATCACAAAAACCGAGGTTTGAATGAAACTGCTTTTATGAAAGAATTCACTGTGACCAGAGAGAACCTTCCCAGGCGACTCCACTGGGTGCCTAAACTCAGAACAACTTACTTGATGCTTGCCTAGCGGCATGGCGTGCGTCCTATGAAAGCTCCGCTCCGCCCAGTGCAATTCTGGTTTGTTTTTTTTAAGGGGTTGCGGGGTGCCCCCTCATATATTTTGGCACACCTCAATTCATAACAGAGCTTGGCTGAAAATACTGCAGGCAGTTTTTACCTCCCTTGCTAAGGGAAGCCTGAGACCTTTCTAGTATTTCCTTAGATTGAAAACAACATATTTTCCCAGAGGCATGAAGTGTGCAGGGGAAGAAACGGAGAAGGCTGGATAACTTGCTCCCTCAATGTCAAGGGACACGTCTCACAGAGGCCAGAAGCTCTTCCATTATTGAACGAAGAACGTTGGGGGTGAGATAGTGTTTGGGAGTCAGAATTTTCAAGGTCCACTAGGTGTTTAAAAAGCCATCGGAAGTCCAGGTGAAAATGGAAGCCCATAGTACACTTAAGGAACTGTCATTAGGGCTGCTCAGTTACACTGCTAAGGTTTGACTGCGGTGTCAAGGGATCGGTTCCCTCAGCTGCCCTACGTTCTATGGGCCGGCAGTACTTTCCCTCTTTTTATCCGTACAGTAAATGCTAGCTGCTAAGTTAAAGGCACTTGAGGTGCCTCACCTAGCAAGCAAGAGTAAATTGGATTAAATATGACTTAGAACTGGAGTCTTAATTGTAGTATTGTATACCTGAAGTGATTTATTCACATCATGTTATGGTACTTGGGTCTAATATTTGTAATCAACTCAATTAATGCGATTTGACCTAACTCACAAGTCAATTACCTGGCAACTCAAATGTCTCTTGAGAGCTTCATGCTGAAGTTCCCCAAACAGCTGACCCACATATTTTTCTTTTCTTTTTTTCTTTTGACCCACATATTTTTCTATCTTTTTTGCATTTCCTCAACCCCACCCCTCCAGACTTCACGAGGGAAAACACACTGTCAATACAAGTCCAAGGTACAGCAAGATTTCTATTCCAACACTTGTTCTATTACAATGTGCTTCTCAGTGGCTTCTATCACTCTGTGGGGCTATGGGATGGATGTGAGTTACTGATGGATGATGGGTGGTGGGGGTGGGGAAACAGAAGGCCCCCCAGTCACATTTTGCTGGTCATAGTACTTCAACAAATCAGGAGTACAGCAGATTAAGATGTAAAATAACCTTTCACTCATATAACAAGATGAGAAGAGATTCCAAAAGAGTTGGCTCTTTCAGTCCTTTACAATCAGAATCTGGTTCTATCTGTGACCCAAATGTTTACATTTTCATTCAGATTTATGATAATTTGATTAGCTAACTAAGGTCATTTAAGGAGCACTGGGAGCAGAGTGGGTAATATTAACACCAAGGTCAGTCCTTTGAACCCACCAGCGGCTCTATAGGAGAAAGCCAAGATTGTCTGCTCCTGTAAGGATCTGCAGTATCTGAAACCCAACGTGACAAGTCTACCTTGTTCTGTGGGGTAACTATGACTTCAAAGTGGAGTCTTTGTTTGGAAAGGTCGTTTGACTTGGAATCACAATCAATGCTCAGGAAAGCATCGGTGGAGAAATCAAATGATGAATTCCATTAGGAATATTGCTGCAAAAGACCTCTTTAAAAGAGTCAAGATTTCACTTTAAGGACTAAGGCGCAGCTGATCAAAGCCATGGCATTTTTACCGTGTGGATGTGAAAGTTGGACAATGAATATGATGACTGAAAAAGAATGGATGCCTTTGAGTTATGGATTATCAAAGAAATATTGAAATACCATGGACTGCCAGAAGAACAAACAAATCTGCCCGGGAGGAAGTACAGCCAGATGCTCCTAAAAAAAAAGATGGGAGAGGTTTTGTTAGATCTCTCTGGAGCTAGATTTATACCTCGGTCCTTGGCTCCGCGCGAGAAAGAATTCACGCCGAAGCCTGGTTCGTGATCGAAGTGAGTTTATGAGCGTTAGAAGAAGTTTCAGGTTTACACGGCACCCAAGGGGCT